GGACCGGTTTAAAAAGTCGCCGCTTTCGCCCCCACCTTGAGGTTGGTGAGCTGCTCCCACTGCGGGGAAATGTAGAAGAGGATGCCGTCGACGGCGCCGGGCAGCGTGACGCCGCGCACCAGCAGCACGAACAGGATGACGAACGGGAAAGTGGCGGTGAAGTACACCACCTTGCCCACCGACTTGACGCCGTTCATGATGCACAGGAAGAGCGCGATCCAGGAGAGCGCGTCGCACAGCACCAACGGCCACACCAGCCCCCCGGGCTCCGCGATGCTGCCCGACATCTCCAGGATGCCGTTGCTGCGGGCAGAGGAGGCATGGCCACACCTCGGAGCGTAGACATTGCAGCGACAGTTCTAAATGCGGCGAACTTTGGGAATAATCGGGTGCTAAACACGCCAGTTTTGGATAAAGCTGTTTGCTTGGGTGCAAACTGATCGTTTCCCACATCATCCGCCTACTGCGGTATTGACTACAGCTGGCTAATATAAGACGATTATTCTGTTATGGGTTTAGCGTGTTCGCAAGAAATATTTGGCATAAAATGCGTCGGAAATTATGAATTTCTCAGTCGTAATGTTGTTTTGCGAATGTTGAAGACCGGACCCTTGACGTCAAATCGGAAATACGTAGCGAAGTGTCAACTGAACTTTAAGATTAGTTAAAATTGTGTAAATAGAAGTTTACGACTGAAATATTGCAACTTTAAACTCCACACCTCTGACTAGTTTTAGAATGTTCGTACCACTGGTCTGATTCGTGTATGCCACTTGTTTCTGTATATCACCATGTTCCTCTTCACCGTAACGCCTTTCACTTATCCTAGTCACCTCGTGTTGGCTAATGTGCACTTCACCCTGTTTAATTACAAAATATGTTCGTTATATTTAGTGATTCAAATGGGGCGCGCTTGAAGCCGGACTATGCGCGCGGCGTACGCTTCAGAAGCGGTAAAAGCAGCATCCTTAACCAAAGGCTGGAGCGAGTCTCTGTTAGTGACGTTCATAAGCGGCGACAAGCAGCGGAGAAGTAGAACTGTATTGAGGTAGAGCTTAGTGTTATAAGTGTCTATTATTAAGATTGTGCCTACGCTGAGCGTGCCTCGTTCTAATTGGATATTTGTACTTTGGATTGTACTGATAAGTCCCATGGCCACGACGATCGTGCTTGTTTTGTTGGAAATCTGGTACACGGTTATGACCATTGTATTGGTACGATTTGGAATTTCGCTTGTAAGAAGTGAATAGTAAACTTTTTTTGTTGATTTACTTGTTGGTGTATTTTTATGGACACAAAGTTTTGAATCTGTTCCTACGTTGGATTTATCCACCCACTTTGAATAATGTGAACATTAACCGGCTAATTTGGACAGAGCCAGGTACGGAGTTTAGCGGTAACATATACTATATTATAAACTCTATAGTCGCTACAGACACTTAAGGAAAATGAAGGATATGAAGATATTGTTGACGATCCATCAATTTAAACGATAGTTTTTCCTGATTCTGGTTAACTATGTTTTGTACGATCGAATAAAAACGAAGGGTTGTTTTTACCGCTAATTTTTGGCACGAAGTTATTTTCAAGTCATTCCATGTCTAGTGGTCTATTTTTTATACGTGTCCCTCAAAGTCATCTCGGTTTCTTTTGACGTGTCCCACATGCCTAAAAGGAACTTTCGTGAGGCCATAGCTTCATAGGTAAAATAGCTTTTGAGATACAGTGGTTTGATCGAACACATACAGCGTCGTTGACTAGTACGACTTCAAGGTTTTCGCAACAGATATGGACATATTTTATCCTGCAAGTTGCAAAAGCTTGAAGTCCTACTATACTAGGACACTGCATGAGGTTAAAAAAACCGCTGTATTTCTAAAAGTACAAACACATATGAATTTACAATTCCACAAAAGTTTCTTTGAGACATCTAGGACTCGGCAGACAACATTTCAACAAAATCCGAAGAGTTCGCGCTGGGAGTCCTAGACCGCTTGACACGGAATGACTGAGTGTTGTTAAGACTTCTAAAAAACGTGACCTTACTGTCCAAAATTCTCGAATAGTTACTTTCGAGTATAAATTCGCATTATTTCACATAGAAAAAGTAGATAATATGAATAATTATAAAAATATCATGTGAATGTTTTGCTTCTAAACGTGTCTACAAAATAAAATATACACATTTAAAGTACTAAATAAAATAAATTTCTATCATAGTCCCCCAAAAATTAAATTTAAAAAATCTTTCCTTTATTTTTTTTTAAATACCACACTCTAAACATTTTCTGGGGCTGCCCTTGCCTGGGCCTGTGCTCGCTGCGGCGGCCGTAACTCACTCACTGAAAGAACTCGTCCGCCGGCGTCTTCGTCCGGCGCGTCAGGTTCATCTCCATGCCGTCCTCCTTTTCTCCCAGCTGCGAACATTGCATTTATGCGTTACTACTTAGACAACAAACACACACGCTGCAGTAACCTGCCTCAACGGATAACATATGTACACTATAGATAAGCAAACCTGGAAAGAGTGTTTGCACAGCGCGCCATCAGATAGCGTAATTCGCTCTCAGGCAACCCTGTGACCATTTTTTAAAATTTGTTGCGTCTTCATCGACGCAGCGCGTCTCCTAATTCCGTTAGGAGCGTTGAGCGCATTGGAGTAATCCTCCGTTAATAAGTGCCCTCTAGGGGTCGCTGTGTTGTCATGTTACGTCAGTCATAGTTAAGTCAGGGAATCGCCGGTAGGTAGCGTCTCGCACTCCGCGTCATCGCGCCATTCGTTTCGCGTGCTAATTTCGTTTTCACAAATAATAACGATTGAAACAAGAGAGGGTAGTGTTATCATTAAATTTGCCGTGTGACACATCCTATTGGTTCCTAGTTCGTTTCACATTTGTTTTACTTCGTGAAACGTGACCATACTGCCATTAGAAGTTCAATTAACATAAAGTTTATCGAACATTGCGTCAGAGCCGTTAAAACAAGTGGAATATCGTACACATATATTTATCGCTTACGTCTAGTGAGTTATGTTGAAAATA